TGAAATTTTTGATAGAAAAAATAGAGTTTCGGTCGGTTTTATGCTTCAACTTATTTGATTTGACTAATCTAGGTCACTCTACGTCATTTATTGTCTTAATTAAAACTAGTTTTCGCCCATGACTATAAAAAGAAACATAAAAACCAGTGAACTTTCTGGTCAAAAAAATTTACGAAATTGACTTTTCCATCGGTGAGTACAAATAATGACTCATTGAGATCGTGTAACATCATTTAGTAGCTCATTTTCGTCTGCTTTTGAGCAAACCATTGAAAATCAAACTGGTCAGCCTGAAAAAATATCCAAAAAAAAACAATGTTTTACAAACTTAGAAGGTAACAATTAGCCAGGTCGTTTGAACGCATTTGTTCTTGCATTGTCTAGTGATTTTTTGAGCATAAGCAAGTTATCTTTTTTGCTATTTGCTCAAATAACAATTTTTTGAGAAAAATATGAAAAAATAGGTATCTTTTTTAAAGACTACCGTTATCAAGAAAGTTGTTTCATTTTCAGAATTGAGTACAAAAAAAATTTTGTTTCCTAAAACTGACCTAAAATGTGTCCTGAGAAAAAGATTCGTTGGCTACCTGAACCTATAAACGAATTGTTTTTCTTTTCTGCTGAGTTCACATTTAAGAAGAAGTATTTTTAAATTAGGTTAATTTATCCTTTAAACCAACCTAAACTCTTCGTTTTTGTGCGGCCATCGTTAACGGACAAAACGCGTTAAACTTGAAAGTTAAAATGCATTTTTCTCAAATTGGGTTGAGTTTAGGTGAAAACTTATGAAGACAAAACTTTCTTAGAATTTTATCAGATATATTATGGTGTAATTTGTTTTGCAAAATTCGGGTCCGAAATTTCACCCCAAAAATGGGTCATTTTGGTTTTTCTTAGTTAATAGAAAATTACGCCAAAAATACCCAGTAGATGACAGACACAATTATATCAAAGTGAGGCCCTTACGTAGCTCAACAAACTTTAAGAGGGGTATTTTCTTCAAAATTAATTGCGTAGTGTTTAAAAAAATTGTTTTTAAAAAAAAGTTGGTATTTTATATAGCAAAAATGACCTTTTTTCTATCAAACAAAAAAAAATAACTTAAACAATTTTTTGGAGATTATGCCCTTCTTAAAGTTTGTTGAGCTACGTAAGGGGCTCACTTTGATATAATTATGTCTGTGATCGACTGGGTATTTTTGGCTTAATTTTGTATTAACTAAGAAAGCCAAAATGACCCATATTTGGGGTAGAATTTCGGACCCGAACTTTGCAAAACAAATTACACCATATTAATTCTGCTAAAATTCTAAGCAAGTTTTGTCTTCATAAGTTTTCACCTAAACTCAACCCCATTTGAGAAAAATGAGTTTTAAATTTCAAGTTTAACGCGTTTTGTCCGGTTTATTTAAATCAGCGCTGTAATAATTCAGATAGTAAATGACAGAGTGACCTAGATCAGTCAAATCAAATATTTTGAAACAAAAAACCGACCAAAGCTCTAATTTGTTTATCGAAAACTTCAGTAGTGAGCAATTTTTTTTTGCCGTTTTGGATTCCTTAAACAAATACCTAAAATATTGAACTGTTCAACATCGCTCCAGAACCGTTTGTGATATCCCCAAACAAATAATCGGACATGTGTATACTTAAAATGAACTATTGCGGAATTGGCAACTGTAAGCGGAGTTCGCAGTTTCTAAGTCGAATCCACAAATTTTATTTGAAAAAAGGATTCCGCATTTTCTTTGCGGATTCCAGTAACATATATGTGTATAAGTAACACAGATTTCATAGAGAAACTCACTGAAGTCAAAACAGGAAAGATCAAAATAGTACTACGATTTTAATTTAAGACTAGGCATGATGGTATTCAAAACTGATAACTAAACATCCATCAATTTCTCTGAAAATATTAGATGATCTAACCATTGACATGACCTAAAACTGCCCTCATGATTTGAGTTCGCTGTATCATCCCAAATACTGCGTTCATGATTTGAATCCACTCTCCACCAACTAGATCCTTATTTAGGATTAGTGGAATCACAAAAACACTGACCTAATTTGGCGATTCAGTGTGCATTGTGTTTCCAAACACTCAACCGATTAACTCAAAATAATGAATTTATTCGGTGCTGTGTTTCCAACACTGTGATCCTAAAAATACTTGTTGGGATATGTATGACAAAAACTAAAGGGTGACAACCACCAATTTAGTTAGCCAATGTTTCGAAATTTGTTCGTATATTCGCTGAAAATGTTTAAGTCATTGCTTTTAAAATCCGCGATGTCATAGTTAATTTCACTAAATACACTTACAGTTTGCAGAATCTGCTTACATTTGCAGATTCCGATAACAAAATTTGCGAATTCCACTTGCATTTCCGGATTCCACTTACATTTTGCGGAACCCACTTTGTTGCGGAATCCAGAACAACTAGCTATGTTCGCTTGCTGCGGAATACTGGCCATAAATGTGCCGACAATAATTTTTTTTACAGATATTTGTACGCGGAATCCACGGAAAGTTTGTAGTCGGAATCTACTTACATTTTGGAACAAGTTTAAGAATGTCTCAGGAATCCAGGATTATACAGAATGGACTATATCCAAAACTTATATGCAGTTCGCAGTTTGGCCTCGTAATGTTTTTCGCGATAACCTAATTTGTAAGCCTGTTGTTTGATAATGAAACATCATTGTTGGTCCAAAATTGAAGTATAACTAGTTTGTGAATTGTCTGACAGCAATAGAGTTAAACTTTTTGCAAACTTGGTAATTATTTCCAAATTTCGAACTTTTCGCAAATCTCAAAACTTATTAATAAATTCTGTCATGATTGTATACTGAGCAAACATAGTTTTTAAATAAATGTTTGGAATAAGACTGTTTTGCACATTGAGAAAACTTGACCAAACGTTCCCTTATATTTCTTTTGTTATAATCCACAGCAAAGATTGTGGATAAATTTCGGTAATGAGTTTGCGAGCGAGAAACAATTAAAATCGACTTGATTACGAATCAGAAATTCAGACCATTGAATCAGCTATGTTGCAATTATAACGACACGCCCACTTTAATTCATGATAACATATTTGAACTCATTTAATACATGATCGATAGTTTTTGTTCAAGAAATCCGCGATAATCGATATTTTGTGGATGTAAGTTGTATACTCTTGTCATAGGGATTAAACTAGCTCACTCATCGTGTCTTGTTATGTTGGTTAAACCGCATCTGTCAATCAATTAACCTTACACCGGTGCAAGACATATTTGACAGGTAATACCCTTCGGAGCGCTTTGCCACCTTTGGTAAACTCCTAATTTAGTTGTCTTTTATGATCTTGATTGAATACAGCTGTTTATTAACATTGGAATTTATTAGCGATCACGGAAATAGCAATTTCAACACTACAGAGCTGATTTCTATTATCCGGACAAAATGAACAAAACTTGAATTTTCAAACGCGTTTTTCTTAAATTGGTTTAAGATTAGACAAAAAAGAAGAGAACAAAAGTTGCTTACAATTTCACCAGAATTAATATGGTGCCACTTTTTCTCCGAAATTCTCAACAAAAATTTTACCCCAAAAATGGGTCATTTTGGCTTTTTTCAATTAATCAAGAATTACGCTGAAACTACTTTGTTAATTGATAAGAAAATTATATCCCAGGAAGCCTCTTACGCAGTTCAACAAAGTTTAAGGTTAATTCTCCAAAAATTTGCTCTCTTAAAATTTTTTTCTCTTATACTGGTTTTTGGAGATTTAACCCATCTTATACTTTGTTGAACTGCGTAAAAGGTTTCCTGTGATATAATTTTCTTATCAATTAACTAAGTAGTTTCAGCGTTATTTTTGATTAATTGAAAAAAGCCAAAAAGACCCATTTTTGGGGTAAAATTTTTGTTGAGAATTTCGGAGAAAAAATGGCACCAGATTAATTCTGTTGAAATTCCAAGCAACTTTTGTTCTTTTCACTTTTTGTCTAATCTTAACCCAATTTGAGAAAAACGCGTTTGAAAATTCAAGTTTTGTTCGTTTGTCCGGATAATTTAAATCAACACTGTACTTTTGCAGCTATCTGCATAACTCGCACCCAAGCAATAACTTTTGACAACCACGTTTACCACCCCTCCTTCCTCTTTTTTACGCTGCCCCGTCATTTCCTACCGTTCAATTCGACCCCAACGCGTGCGACTTAGGGGGCTTGTAGTGGTTCAGCAACGGTGAGTCCCTCCAATTCTAACTATTACCCAATCCTACGTCCAACCAACCCCCTCCCCCAGCTTCACCGAAACTGACCATGTGACAGATCATAGCTAAAAGACAGATGGAAAAAGAGTCAATGAAAGCAAGGAAACTTAACTAATTTTGAAACATTTTCATCTTTCGAATTTCAAAGTAAAGAATCAGCATTTCAAAATTAGGTAAGTTTCCTTACTTTCATTGACTCTTTTTCCAACTAACTTTTAGCTATGATCTGTCACATGATCAGTTTCGGTAATATATACTATATATACTTTGGCGCCAATATATACTAACTTTAAGGGGCAGCGCGCAAAAAAAAAACGATTTTTTTGTCAAAATTTTCCAAAAAGTGCCCAAAAACGGCTTTTTTGACCTGTTTTTTCAAAGATTTGGCTGCTGCGCAGAAAATTTGGCCAAAACAGCGTCTTTTTAGTACTTAAGGAGAGCTTGGAAAAATCAATTTGGTCGACCAAAAAAAAGGTCGTCAAAATTTTCGAAAATCCGCCGATCCCCCCCGCCCCTCGAGAAAATCCTAGAACCGCCCCTGTTTAAGAGTCCTGAATTCGTTCAGTGACTCTTAAACAAGATGAATAAGTGACATCGCTTTTTCGAATGTGAACTAATTTAATTTTTCATCTATTTTTGACAAATTACTTACTTCGCAGCATTTAGTTCTGTTTGCGCAGTAGCCAGTTACTTTTTGGATCATAAAGACTATTTTAGAAAATGTATTCTAATCCAAGTAATACGGTATTAACGTGCAGTACAACTATACCCGCTTTATTAAGACTAATTTAAACAATTTAAGAATTTACTAATATAGCTGCTTAATTAACCTACAGTAAAATTACAATTGAATTCAAGTATTCGCACCAATAATATTGAAATGAATGAGAATAGTTTGCACCATTAAATTTGTAAGTTTTTTAAATTTTTTTCCCTTTAAGTCGATTATGTCATCCAGCTGAACCGCTGACACTGCTTGTATGTTGAAAAAGTGTTCGCTAGTCTTCGATCGTTAAACGAATCATCTATTCGAAAAGTGACCTTCTTTGAAATTCGGATGACGATAAATATAGTTGACAGCTGAGGATAGAAATACAGCAATCTTTGATTCCGAAACGATCTTTGGATCGATTATTTTTTCTGATTTAAACTGCCATCCAATTCAACGACAACAAACTCTCTCCCACCCTTTGAACTTATGGCCGGGAGGGGGAGAACTGGGGATCTCGAGGCACTTCGGTGAATGTTCTTAGTTCGTAATCGTTCCCAAACAGTCCTTGGTCCACTTTTCCCTTTCCAATACTGGATCCTGATCCCGAGCCAGTGTTAGTTGCTGAGTCATACCCCTGGCTACGGGAGAAGATACATCTAAAACAGGCAGATCAATACAATGCAATAACTAAAACGTTCGGTTAGATGGACAAAGCAGTGCCAGAATTGGCAAAGAAAAACGCGAGTTTTCGATTCAAGATTTATCATTTTATACAATGAAAAAAAAAGGAACATGCTCATTTTTGAGCGTCTGGGAGCACAAATCGGCTCTTAAAACAAAAAATTAAAACAAAAATTACTACGAAGTCAACTGGTTACCTGATGTCTGTGTGTAGATATATTTTGTTGCTCGAAGTTGACTGGAATCTCAGATGCAACAGATACTTGAGCACCGAGCCAGAACCAACTCCACCTGGTCCAGAGTTCGAACCAGATCCCACGCCTTGCCACCTACTAGCACACATGACACGCAAACTACCAAAGACAAAAATCTTCAGTACTTTTCAAATCTTGCATTTCATAAGGATTTCAATCAATTCAGTAGTTACGAAACTAATGACCATGGTATGTACATCGCTAAAATGTTCCTGTGCCAATTAATTCTCAGCTACAACATTTTCAAGACTGATCTAACAAATATGTAACAACTCGAAAGATGCCCCTGCCTATCATCAGAATTGCACAACCGTATCTAATATTCAAGAAGTATGATAAGAGCTAAACTACTTGAAAATTGCATGGTGTGATAATATCGAATTTATTAATTTTTCAGTCCAGCTTCTATAAGAGCTAACATTTTTAGTAAAATAGAAGTCTTGTGCGAAAAGATCCGAATATTCTGCCTCAATTTTTTTTAATATAGATAATTTTTTTAAAACAATTTTTGCGTTTATTTTGCTGGAGAAACAAAGTTTCAACGCAAACGCAAAGCGACACTGCGCGAAAAACAACATTGAAGTTTAATTTACGATGAGGCAAGCTAAAACACGAAAAATATTTTTACGTGCGGAACTTTGTGAAAAAACCTTCTTTACGGGGAAAAAGTCTAGTACCAGGTTGCAATAACCCTCTTTATCGCAAGTGTACAAACTCATCACTTATACCGTATAAATAAGGAGATCAATAACTTGGTCTCTTTGCTTGAAACTACATTCAGATTTACAGTTCATGAATTAAAATTCAGTTTTTTTCTAGAATTTCTTAGTGAAATTGCATTGAAATTGAGTCCGAATCAAGATTGCTAAAGCTCCTAATTAGTATACCACTCGACGTCACGCTAATTTTAATTATGGTACTTCATTTTTTCATGGTAAAAGCATCCAAATCTAAGGGTCTTTCTAAATTACGTAAGCGAACATTAATTATCTCCAGAATTAACCTTACCTCCTGCTATTACTGGATGAAGAAGTGTTCAGGTTGTTATTGTTGTTTTCTAAGGCATTGCTGTTATTTTGGGTAGTTGGTACTAGGAAGGTTCTCTGCCTGAGGAATGTCTGATGAAGGGGCGGCATCTGTTCCAGGTCATACATCACAATGAACACTTTGATCACAGACCCATTAGGGTTGAACAACGTCTGAACAATCAAAAAAATTAATGTCATTATTATCACGAATACCTGAAAAATATCAGATGAAAATTAAGAAAGGCAAACTTTTGAGGAGCATACAATTTCTAGCAGCAATCGAGTGTTTAAAAATAAGCTTTGAATGTCTTGGGCAGCTCTTCCCATACTTTTTTTTTATTGAAACTTTTGTTGCATTTGCTTGGAAATTATTTTTTGCATAATTTCAGTTTGTATATTTCACTTTGTATTACTTCGCACACAAGCCTTCGGCAACTCATAATTATGCAATTCTCTAACAGTAAAACTTTTAGGTTTTTTTTGTTTCAATTGATTGAGATTTCTTTTGTAACATAAGGTTTTTAAAAAGCGTTTTGGCAGCATTTCTGGGTGTTCCAAATTTTTTAATCAGTTGATGCGTAAACAAGGACTACATATTGTAGAACGGGCTGAACGAAAACTTTACATGCCAAAAAGGCTGTTTTTTGGTCAACGTCAACAACTATCTCAAGTCACCAAAAAAAGTCATTATTGGCTCATTTTTTTTCAAAATAATTAATTTGTTTTTAAAACGTTAATTTGTCATCTAAAAATCATCAAGATATTTAATTTCTTAACTTAGTCTATTTTTCGCCATTTATTGTTGTTTCTGTTGAGCGTTTATCGATTGACTTTTTACCAAAAGGCATAGTTTTAGTTTCAGTGTTCAACGTAAGTTTTTTGCTGTTTAACACAAACAATTTTCGTCTAAGACTTTGGTGATCTTCAACATAGTTCAATTTTTGAATTTCAAATTAAAACATATTGCTTTGAAGACATTCGAAATTCAAGAACAATTTAGTATTGACACTTTTTTAGACCCACATTTTTTTTTTAAAATGGATCATTAGATAAATGTTTCATTCCATTGGGGAATCTGAAAATTTAATTCCAATTTCGAAACTACAAATCGATCACGTTTTTTGTGACCTTCACATTTTAGCTGTTCGATAGTGGAGTTTTCATTCCTTGAACTGAAGGAAATGAATCAACTTGGAAAGAAACCATAAATCGAATCGCGAAAAACCAAATTTGATGGTGAACAAATTTCAAGACTTTTCCTGAAAAAAAAACAAACACAAAAAAAACGAAGGGAATCTAAACTATAGGAGACTGAATTAGAATTGAGCCTGATAAAGATCCATGCGGTAAACCAAATTTTAATTCCTCAGTTTTGATTTTTGTCGAGATGAATAATATTATTCTCTGTTCACTAAATACGATTTCAAAAAGGATAGCCTGTTACTGAGCAATTAGCACAGAACGTTTCGATCATAGTTTTCAAAAACAACTACCAAATTTTTTTTTGATCTGGAATAATATTATAATTTAGGTACATTCGACAATCATAGTAAAATAGGCAAAGAGGACAACAGTTTTTGATGGAAATGACTAGAAAAACAAAAAATATTTTTAAAAAATTTCAAAAAACCAATTTTTTTCCAATTTTTTTGCAGAATTTTTTTAAACTTTGAAGTTTTTGATTCGTAAAACGGCATTAAAATCTTGAAAACTAATTCTACTCAAGTAAAATTAAAATTAATTATAAAAAGATATTTTAAAGCTTAAAATAAGCATAAATAAGCCTGCTCGCTGGCTTTCGTCGCTCGAAATTGGACGAAAAAAACACAGAGGCGAAGCTGAGCTTCGCATCACTCGCAATAAAAAAGTTCAAATTTATTAAAAATTTTCAAAGAGTTCCAAGAGGGGTTGAATTTTAGCATTCAAATTCTTAAATAGAGGACAAAGGCTTAACTATCTAAACACAATCAAAAATTTGAAGGAAACAAAAGATAAGGTAAATGAGCCGACCAAATTAAGGCCCACAGCCAATTAGATGAAAATCAACCAAAATTGTTCGAACGTTATTGGAAAATATACAAGTACTAATCAAATAGTATCCACGAAAACCAAAACTTTTCTCTGTCATCAAACATTAGAGGGCCACTAACTGCATATGAAATAAACCGAAAACGATTGCACCAAAAAAGGAAAAAAAAGTTTTAACAAATCGAGACGGTAAAATTAAAACCAATCAAAAGCAAATTTCGATTCAGCCGGCTTTTTAAAAAGCTAAGACAACTAAAGCAAATGTTGTGAAAATTGTTTGCACCAATTCTCAGATCTGGCAACTAAGCCGACAAAACATGAGCAGACAAATAATAGACTGAAATCTTTTTGAACCGGAATTTTTACCGTCTAAAAAAAACAGGTCCTGGCCAGATTCAAACCCAAGACCTTTGCCTTTCCAGGCGTATTTGTTACCTCCAGGCTGTGTGCAGGAGACAGTAAGAAAATTCTATTCCTTATGAATCAAAGTACCAAGGGGAGTCGAGTCCTGTGGACAAAATTGTTAACCGGAGAAAAAAAATCTAATACCCGATTTTAATAGGCTTGCTGATTGCAAGGGTAAATTTTTCAAATCAGTTTCTCTCGAAACTGTAAAAAAAAATTGGGAATTTTTAATGTTGTTCGAATCACGACTGAAAGGGCTTTAAAAAGAAATGTCATTCAACCACGTCCGATGATAATTTGTGGTACCTGATATTGCGTGGAAAACAAAAATAAAAAAAACACACCCGACTACAAAGTTCCTCTTCATTTTCAATGGTCGGAGCAAAAAAATTCATGGTAGGTCCCATAACTATATCACTCTCAGTTATTCAGCTCAAAACCATAGTCGACTGTATTAAAGCTTCTTTACAGATCGACAAATGTGCACTGGAATAAAACGGAATGATCATTCCAATAAAACCTAATTTCTCCAATCAGCGATACAATAGCATCTATTGCATCGCTGGTTGAAGAAATTAGGTTTCATAGGAATGAACATAGCCAACTGACAGTTGGAAAAGAGGAATGAACGCAAGGAAACTGAAAAAAAAAACGATTTGTTTTCAAAAATCTTCAAACTTTTGACTTTCGAAGAAAATAGATGGCCTTAAAGCACTTTGAATTTGTAGAGCAATCCATGATGGACACTTTTATGTTAAAAATAACCCAATTTGAGAAAACTGGATACTTTTATTTCGCTGGGAAATCTGATAATTAATATACATTTTCGAATTTAAAAATCGATCACGTTTTTCGTGATCTTAACAATTTTACTGTTTGATAGTTGAGTTTACCTTCCTTTTAACAATAGAAATGCACTGAACAAGTTAAACCGCAAAAAATCAAAAGAGCGTGAACAAATTTTAAAACTTTTTCCTGAAAAAAAAATAAGCAAGACCTGTAAGCGAACTCACTACGTTCATTACTCTTAATCAATCCATTTTAACCGAGGGCACATTCATCGATCTGAAAAAAGCTTTCAATACAGTCGAGCATGGTTTTAGGTGGATGAATGAGTCATATAGACTTAAGGGACCTATATTTATTTATTGAAATCGTATTTAGCAAACAGAGATTCACTTCCGAAAGTAGAATTCGACGACGTTTCTCGTGATTATTACACTTATGCTGTTCGATACTGGGTTTTGCCATCATTTTGAAAGAAAAAAATATAAAAATATACCGCAAACAAACAATCAAACTTGAGCGTGATAAAAAAAAACCATGCCAACCTATATTGGTGTCTTCATTACGTTCATTGTAACTTTAACAGACAGTTGCGATTTACTTTGGAAAAGTAGATAGAGTGACATTACAAAACAATCGCTACTTGTATACTCCATAACGAAATGTGACTTTCATAAGTTGAATTATGATCAGAATTAACTAACCACTTGTATCTGTCCTTTGCGTGGCACTCTGTGCCCTCTGCTAATTCCATTTCCAGCTCTCCCTCCCCCTCCTCCGCCACCTCTCACTCTACCCCTTCTACTGCTGCTGCTGTTATTCTCATCTAGTCCCACATTCTGCAGACTGATGTAGCCCTATTTAATCACAAACAATCAGGGCACTGGATTTTGATAAACAGATCCCTGAAATTACCACTAGACCCGATAACATACTGATATAATAATAGACAAAAAGCCTGCTTGAAAAAAAAACTGAAACGCTTTAACGGCGGTTGCATTCCGAGAATTAGTAATTATCGATATAAATCTTTATTTGACCATTCATTTCTCGGCAAAACTTAAACAAACCAAAGGATTGATTGAATTTACGTGCAAATGAGACTCCTACTAGGTACCAACACAGTAGCGTGCCGAGGGCGGGGGGACGACCTTCCCGTTCTCAATTCTAGTTGCCACATTTTTCCAAAAGATCCACGTTTTGGTATAATTTCACTAGATCCATTTTTGGCTGACCAACAAAACTTTTCTAAAGGCGCCAATTTAACTAAATTTGCGGAGGGAGGGGGAGCGCACACCAAAAAAACTCAATTTCTTGATCAAAATTTATTTTTTCATTGCTAAAAACGTCATTTCAGCCTGTTTTTTCATAAGTTTGTCAGCGGCGCAGAAAAATTTCAATTTTAGCCATGGCAAATAGGGTCATTTTAGTCCTCCTAGAAAAATTACTGCGCGAGCCACTGTACCAACCAACACATCAAATTTTGCCGAATGGACCTGCTTGATGGACCGGGACCGAGACCGAATCAGCCAAAAACAGCGGGTCAAAAAAAAACAATTTTTTTATATTCCAGTTCATTTGCTCTAATTATTTCAGATGGGTCCTTTTTCAGAGCTTTCTGAGCATGATTTAAGAATAAGTTATTTTAGTTAGTGACTCCATTTAATGCGTGAAACAATATGGTACTATCACGCATGGAAAGTAAAACACACTGAAACGTTTAAAGCATAGCAAGCAAATACTTATTAGTCACTCTCTTTCCGTCTTACGTAACACGATATAGATTAAAATTGAGCTCTTAGAGAAGTTCAATGTGAAGTCAAATCATTTCTTCTTAGTTTGCGATAAACCTTAAAAATATGCGATGATAGCTGGTTGGTTTGCAAGTAGCACAAAAAATTTCCGCCACACATATTTTCGATAAAATGAAACATTTTGTAAGCAAAAAAAATGAAAGCTATAAAGTAAGTACATAAATATAAAAATAAGTAATAAGAGCAAAAAAAATTCAGAAATCGAATAACAACTAGTAGGGCTTTATTAGCACCGTTGACCTGGGCTTTCTTCGAGTTACTTAAATTTGAGCGCACAAAAAATCCAAACTATGCTCTAGTTTCTTCCAAATTTAAGTTTTTCAATTAAGGTTAAATTACTAATTACTGAATTTTGATTTCCGACTATAGGATATTTTTTCTCCAAATTAACAAAATCCATGTTTGAAAAAACAAGCAAAGTTATTTCGTCATAGAAACAAGAGTAATCGGAACTACTTTTGATCACCTCTTATAGCACGACCGACAGTTTTTTCGAACCGACCCTCCCTCCCGCAACACTTTAAGGAACCTATTTAAACAAAACTATTCCCCTCGCGAACACATGTTAGTGGTTTAAGTTACTGAGAGTATCGTTGTCTTACAAAATAGGGCGACGGGGATCCGTCGTCTGACAGGTGATAGTAACAGGCGGAGAAGTCCACTGATATGTGGCTGGGACAGAATTTGGCTCCAGCAGCTCCAATGTCAGCTTTGAAACCCTGCAAAAAACCCAAAATATCATCATAAGGGCTTTTACCATGATACCTAGAATTAATTATGAGAGATTGTGTAATAAAAATGTGTGGTAAAAAACTCTCTCTTCAATTTTCACCAAGCTTTTTAAAGTTAACTTGAACAAAGTTCTTACACAGGGACAGGGGCGGATCTAGGATTTTCTCGAGGGGGGGGGATTTTCAAAAAGTTTTCGCAATTTTCTGGACTTTTTTTTAGATTGAGCAAATTGATTTTCGGAGCTCTAACGAAGCAGTAAAAAGTCCCTGTTTTGGCCAAAGTTTCTGCGCCGCAGTCAAAATTTCGAGAAAAAAAATAGGCCAAGAAGGCGTTTTAGGCACTTTTTGGAAATTTTTTACCAAAAAAAAATGGCGTTTTTTCGGCGCGCGCTCCCCCCTTTCATTTAGTATATATTGGTGCCGCAGGCGCCTTTAGAAAAATTTTAGGGTCCGTCAGCCAAAAATGGATATCTCAAAATAGTTCAAAAGGGGACCCTTGTTTTTTCACAGGCATTGAGTTTTCTTCAATTCGACAACTTTCATTTTTTGATTATTCGGGACTTCGCCCACATACTGCAAGAAAACTGAACACAGAAAAAGAACTCGAAAATGTGCGACTTAGTCTAGACAGCAAAAATGTGGACAGCTAAAACGTGCTGGTAAAGTTGAACTCGCATTATAATACAATCGTTCACTTGGGTAGTTATAAAAATGCATTTTTAAGACCTATCAAAAAAAATAAGTTCACCGCTATTGTCGACCATTTTTAACATGAAGTATATTATACCTGTATTATTCCGAGTGGTTCCATCCTGCCATTGAGAACACTCTCTTCAAAATTGACCACCAGACTCAGCTGACTGGAACTGCTGCTGGATATGCTACTTGACACACTGCAACTTCTACTAGACAGAGACCTACACAAAACAGATGAAAATACGATCACAATTCAAGGCAAACTAAATTAAAATAAGAAGCAATGACTCAGAAGGAAGGAAAGTAACGACTAAAAAAATGTTAAACAATTAAACAATTGACTCTCAATGGTACTTATTGTGCCTTATGTCTAACCCCTCCTAGTTATTCAACTTGACGATAACTTTTGACAGTTGATGATTATTTCTTAACGAATTCTCGTTCAATTACTTTTTTTAAAAGCTAATAACATCTTCTTTCACAGCATACTGCCAATGTCCCACTTTCGACTAGTGCCTCTCTCTGATCACGTTATATTAATTCAAATAAACTAAAATTTTCAAATGTTTAAGTTAAACAGGTTTGCTATATGACTTCTTGTGTCATTACTTGAAAATCTGGCTAGTTTGATCAGTTCAGTGAAGTCATTGAGGAGAAATTCTAGCCTACATTTCAACTTGAAGCTCGCAACATTTCAAGCTCGCAACACGTTGACAAGACTGGGACGGTCACTATTAATTCGGCCAATACAACTTTTAAGCGAACGGTAGAAATCGGATCTTTGCCATACTTTTTTTTTAAAATGTCGGATGTTTGTCACAGTTAATCTTTTTTCAGATGTTTGCAAATTTTTTGGGTTTTTCGGATTTTTAACATGTCGGATGATTGCACGGTACCCATTTCACTTACCTGGGTCTTGACAAAGTATTCAGTGGGGGTGAGAGAGGAGAGGATAGAGGTATGTTTTTAGAAGCTCTTGAGGAGTCCCTACATCCACATGAGTCACAGTTGGACGAGGCAAGTGAAGGAGGCATCAGTCTGTTAAAATGAACAGAATGACAGCTAATCATGTTCAGAATCGAGACTTTTCTGATGATGATAAATAGCTTGCGCTATTATAACGCGTATCCTATCTCAGTTAGAACGCCTTTAATAGCATCCTAAATTGAGTTTAATACAAACAACGATCACTCGGATACAAGAAAGCAAAATATAAATAATGATGATCGTTTTGACGATGACCATGAAACTCTCAGCTTCTCAATATCAAATATTTTTCTCAGGTTCTCAATATCAAATATAGGTTGAACGGATACAAGTTCAACCTATATGAACTAATATTGAGAAGAATATAGGCCGAACAGATACTAAAAGTTGTGAAATTAAGCAAGTTAAAACTTGTCAATGAGTTATTAAACCATGTTCAAATTGGGCATTTACTTTTTCAGATAAATTTCAAAAGCCAGGCAGTATCCTTGAAATATAAGACAATTTACCCTTTAGTGTCGGCAATATTGTTCGGCTGTTTCCCTCCAATTCCTGCTGCGTTATTGTTGATTAGAACATCCTTCGAGTGGAATGAAATAGATTTGCTCATCCTGCGAAAAGCAACCTGAACACAGACAAAAAGTAACTTAACTGTCGAGCACTGCAAATGAACCTTTTTAGTCATCTCAATTTAAAAAAAACGAAAACAAATGTTTTTTATCTAATAATTCACACAGAGGCAAATCTGCTCTTCGCAAACACTTGCGAGAACACGACCAAAAAGCAGTTTTATCATGTGAAATTAAAAAAAAGTAGAAATAAGCCTCGAATCAGCAAAAATTCGTCTACGTGTCGGATTCGAATCTGCGACATAGTAAATTTGAGTCTTACACATTAACCACGCATTCACGGCTGGTCAAAATCCAAAAAATTAGCCACCAATAACGCAGCTACATATGCTAATAAATTGCCAATTCGATACAGCAAAAGTAGCACCAAATACAAAAAAAACACAATTTTGCATGTAATAAATTGGAAAGCATAAAGCCAAGTTATGTATAAATTTTGCATTTCGAAAAATTGCGATATACATTAAGTTGCAAAACTTCTGAAATCGAGCTTTTTATCATTGTACTGCTGTTTCAACAAATAACTTTTTTTCGGCTAATTTGATAAATTAAAAGTGCATAAGCTGTATTAACTTTTTACTAATCAAATGTCGAAGAACATGATATTATACTGCTACCGCAGCCTACAGATTCAAAAGTGCCACCAAAAGTCGCACTTTTATTTGCGACTTAGGTTGGAAAAAAAGTTCGTGCTAATACACTTTGCTTCGCAATTGTAATAAATATCGACAAAAGATAAAATTATGTCTACACGATAAAATTTGCCTTACAACATGAAAAATAGCAAAAAAATGAATGCAATCAACGGCTTAATGTTTTTTTTCTGCAAAACTAAGAGGAACGGCGGTGAAGCGACTAAAGAATCCGTCTCAGTTAAAATTTAACCAAGATCAAGAATTCGAGAAATATCAAATAGTTTCAGAAAATGGTCAAAAAATCACACAAGACTTTTCCGATGACGATAACTTTTTTTGTAAAAAAAAATAGGCGTAGCCGCTAATACAGGGGAGCTTCCCACAATCTGTGCTTTCGATTGAAATCAAAATCTCCGGTTTAAGAGGGTAGTTTTCGAGAAACTAAGAACAGATCGAAACAAGGATAATCGGTTGCTGTGCAAGTAGCACAGAATGTCCGACCATATTTTTGAAAGAAAAATTAAATTATTTTTCTAATTGAATATCGTTTTTTTTTGTGCGTGGTTTGATAAGAAGATGGACGAAAGCCTAAAAAATTGTAAAATTTGCAAGATAAACAACAATTTTAGTTTAAAAAAATGACTAGAAAAACAACAAGAAACGTAAGACAAGTTTTGAAAAACTTATCTGAAAATTTAGTTTTTTTTTTAATTTTTAAATCCCAAAATGGAGCTCAAAACTTCAAAAACTTAAATTATCAGAGTTTGAGTAGGCTTATCATTCAGTAAAAAAAACCAATTATATGCCAGCTCGCTTGCTACTTTATTCGCTCGAAATTAGACTTTATAAATATCAAATCGGTTTTCTTGACACCGAGAATTAATTTTTGAATGTTCGAATCATGACTAAAGGGTTTTTAATACGATATATCACTCGACACTGCCCGATGATTAATTGTGGGACCTAATTTTGCGTGAAAAAGAATAAGCTGAAAAAAAAAGAAACTAAAACACCCGATTAGAAAGTTCCTCCCCATTTCGAATGGTCGTAACAAAAGCAGTCAAAAATCCAAATTTTGACTTATGCGAGGGTCATAACTTTTTGTGGAAAAAAGGTTAGGGCGCAACCTCTTCCGATTCTCCCACAGACTTTTTCAAAGGCTGTAGCAAGTGAGGTATGGTAAAAAGGGACTAGGCTAGGGCGGTCACCCAGATGCGTGGGCGATCTTTCCATTGGTATGATTTTGTGAGCAAATCAAAAAAGTAGTTTCAAAAGAAAAAAAATTTCCAAGGCGTCTCAAAAAAAGCAAATCCCATACCATTCCATAATACCTGTTCTTATCAAGCAGGAACTTTGAACGCAAATACTGAAATCATCATTCTTCTAAGTATGAGGCTGTTCTCATGAGGGAGGAACCGAAAGATGATAAAGTTTCGACCAATCGAATCGTTAGACGTTTCAATTCACGAAAAAAAAAGTTTTTGCCAAAAACCAAAGTCAAAATTAGCAGAAAATAAGTTTTAGCAGTACAACAAGTTTTGCTGTACTAGTCATGCAGATATCAAACAAACTTTATTTTGTTTTTGAATTGTCTTAAAACCGGCTTTCTTCAATTATTGAAAATTCATGTCTGCTTATTTCGCCAACTTTGATTTTGATGACCTGGATTTATCTGCTTAATTTGAAATTTTAAACATTTTTGATTACTCAGACTTACATTTTTGAATACACCAATCTGATTCTAAACATCTAATTACTCACCCTCTAAACAGAATAGAATTGAAAAGCTCAGATAGAGAAAATTGTTTGTCAGACTAAGCTCTGAATTTTAGCTCAGATTATCAAATCATAAGAAGTGACCATTTTTTTCAAAACGGCAACTAATTTGGCGAAACAACCTCACAAGTCAGTCGATAAATTTGGCAAAACTTCATGCGCTAGAAACAAGCTGTTTTCCCAGATAAGTTTGCGAAAGGCGAAATTTTTCAGCCAATGGAAATATATTATTTGAAGCCGTGATAGCAATTTATATTCCTTGCTTAATCGACGTGTTTTGTCACATTTACCCTCACGACCACTAACTCCATCTCCTCAACATTTTCCAGGAATGACAACTGATCGCTAGTTTTATCAGACATGTTGCTAGTCCCGCCCTTTAAATGCAGTCATCTCACGCCCTTCTTTATTACTCAATTTAATACCGGACTTGAACAAGGAGAATCTGCCTGCCTGAACAGGGGTTTATACATCTATCGAAAACACACCACAAAATCGCCCGGAAACCATTATTAAGCCATGCCAAGACCTGATGATGTTACCATCTCTAGCGAACAGGCACCATTTTATTCGGTGCCTTATGATAAGTTTCTCATTTTTCTGAAGCAGCTTTTCAAACTTATTTGATTCCAGGCCTAGGTTTTGAGGCCCCCCCAACTTCCATGATCCGTGCACGATGTTTGAGCCTGAAGAAAAATTTTCACACCGATAACAAAAATCACGTAAGTAATTTCGGTCCGTATAACCAAGTCCGAACCCTGAAAGGAAAGGTCGACAAGAACGACTTCTACTACTGTTCAAACTAATCTGGTATTGGTGGAGACGGTGTGCTCCATCAGGAAGTTAAGCAGAAAAGTATTGAAATGCAGCGTATCTCCGACAGAATCATCATACTCAAATTGATGATAGGGAATAGACTTCTCAACTTCGTCTGTTTATGCTCACCAATCTAGCCTGCCCGCTGTTGTCAAGAAGCTTTTCTTTGACCAACTGCAAGATGTTGTTGCCAAGGTTCCAGACTCTGAGATACTCATCCCGTTAGGCGAATGGAATGGAAACCTTAGCTCTTTTGCCAGTAGTTACCAAGATGCACACGATGGACACGGGGTTACAGCTCGCGTAATGCCAAAGGCGATCGGCTCCTGGAACTTGCTGTTGCCAAAGGCCTTCGAGTCGGCAACACCCGGTTCAAGAAGAGAGACCCTCTGCTAATCACATACAGCTAAGGTGGCCACTACGCAACTGTACAACACACTATCGCAAGTCCTGTCGCAGTGCAGTTTCCACCCGACAAGGAATGCGTACAACAACATCCCCTTGTCGGGTGCTAACTCTCCGTGCACTTATCCTGTGCTAAGAAGTCCGATTTCATACCCCTCATAAGCGCATAGAAGCTTAAGGACGCTACTAAAGACGATCAATTCCAGAAGGCCCTTCTCGTCTAAAGCTTCTGATTTTGAAGGTAGCCACTGAAGCCAGACATATCAAAGAATTGCAAGTAAGACCTGGACTTAGTTGTGGATGAAAAAAATGGCGACGTTGTGCATGAGAAGCGCGCACGTTTGAAGATTTGTAACGCCGTGGAGAAGTGTTTGATTGGCTCAGTGTAGCGTTTCACTGGATAAAAGAGACGCTTCCGAAGACTGCGTCGATTGATAGACTGCCGCCTGAAGTTTTCCAGTTCCCTCAGCAAAATTACGTGTGACAAAGCCACATGCCCGTCTGGGATTGTTGTTGAGATGCTGAAAGCATTCAGAGATTTTGGCGTGGAACTGTGAGGCAACTAACTGGGGCTGTTTTAACAAATGATGTGATCCCAGCAGAGTAGGAGAACTATAAGGTAGAAGGGAGGTCCTGAAGCGTGGCAACTTTCGAGGCTTCGAACTCACAAACAGGGTCAGGAAGCCGATAAAACGGGTGCTGGAGTCCAGCAATATGGTGCATATAGAACATGCAGTTTGGCTTCGTACCTCGGAGACGTACCACTGGCACCATATTCAAAGTTCGACAGCTGCAAGAAAAAACATTGTGCCAACAGACCTCCCTCCAGTGCTTTCGTTGATTTCGAGAGAGCTTATGACCGTGCACCCCGGCAGGTACTGTTGTGGCTCCTTCGAAGTCTCTGTGGCGAAAAATGTGCCCTGCGTGTCGTCCAGGGCATGTACTGCAATGCCCAGAGTCGGATTGGTTAAACGGCCAGAACATCGATAATTCAATGATGGTGTCGGTGTAGATCAGGGCTCTGTTCTTAGTCTTGTTCTCTTCCGCGTCGTCCTCGAGGCCCTTCCAGAGAGATTCACGCAACGTTAAAGGGAGAGTTGGGATTTCCGCCATGCGGATGACTTAGCGACTTAGCGCCATGCGGATGACTCATGGAGAGCAGGGGGTCTCCGCTTCAACATGAAAACGACATATTTCCTGATCTCAGGCATCGGCCTTGAGCTCCTCAGTGCAAGCTCTATGTTCACAAGAAATACTGCAAGTTATCAGACCGACTGGTGGCCAATCCAGATGTACTGGATTGACACGCCCTTCGAATATGATCGATTTGGAGAACTACGCTCGATGTTGAGCTTATCTTTTGCTACCTGGGTGACTTGCTCAGTGCTGACGGGGGCTGTGATAGTGCAATCGCTGTCCAATGCTGCTCGGCTTGGGGTATGTTCAAGAAACTACTCCCTGCATTAACCTCAATGCACACTTGGGCTCACAGTGAATCAGATTATATGGTCCCAATGTATCAGATCTGCAACGACTTGGAAGAAAAGACCGTGCAAATGATCCGTTGGATCTGCGGTGTTGAGCCTCGTGTTGATGATCCAGGTTCACTTCTTGATAAAAAATTGTCGTTTGACATTATCGACGTTCTTCTTAGCTGACGCCTCAGATGTTTTGGAAATGTTGAGCGCGCTCTATTTAAATCATGCATCAAAATGGCCTAGTAATATGACGATCTCATCCATCGAAAATGTGGTAGACCAAGAAAGACTTGTTAAAATTGTGACAAAAACGATATAAAGAAACGTTGCCAAACCCACACTGACCCGCAAGACCGTATATTATGGAGAGCTGAAGTTCAATGATGCATAGTGCTGCCAACCCCATCTGATAGGATATAGACATCAAATCAACATAATCAAAAATCGGATATGATGATGATGCTGTATTAATCAGAAACAATTGTCAATAAATAATCTCAACTGTCAAGTTACATCAGATATAAAAAATATATGTCATTTGCAATCCGCGAGATCAAAAATAGAATTACTTGCCAAAACTATAGAAGTCCTGTCAGATTTTTAAAAAAATTTAAAAAAAAAACAGGACTAACTGGACTGCTGGAGAGTGGCAAGCCTGTGTTGGGATTGAAGCCCATTCCAGTTCCTACCCCCATCACTGTAGGACTACTGCAGTAGGAAAAGGCTCTCTTCATTACTACAACACTGGGGTCTGCCAAAATTCCTCCTCCCCCACCTAAAACAAAATATTTTTACTTTCGTCCCAGAGTAGAACAAAATAATAAATAGCAGTAAATAAACTAACAAATAGAAATAGAAGTAACATATTACTGAGTAGTAAAAAGTAGTAGCACATATTAGCCATACTAAAAAATATTAAATAGTAATAATAGACAATTATATGAATTCATGCCAAAAATAAAGTTTAAATAAAAAAAAAACTTCCAAGTCTTGCAACGAATCTAAAAGCAATACTTCAATTGTATAATCATACGAAGGCTCTTATACATTCCGATTATTTTTATTAATTTGTAAAAAAAAATTAACAACAAATTTCAATTTAAATTTTAACTCAATCGTCTTTTCAGATAAAGCTACCTACTTGTGCCCAAACTAACTCCCCCAGGCGAGACGGAAGAAGCGTTGGGAGGCTGGTGGACATCTTGAAAGTGACAGTGGCAATGACAAACTAGCAGAGGGCCGATGTCCGACTAAAACAGAATTTGACTCCTTTACATTTTCTTCTTCATTGAAAACAAACATGATTTCTGTATACCAATAATTGTACATATTTTTATGAAAACAAAGACAAATGTGTTAGATTATTCAGAGCTAGAGCAAATTTTCACGTCACTTTTACATGTAAACAAAAACGAAAGACGGTAAGAAACTGTCTACTAATTTTAAAGAGCAGCAATCATTCGAATCACGAGCATCATGAGTAAACTGCCCTATGACGGCAACTTGAGTGACGGTTTTTAAAAGAACATACTTGATAACAAGCATAGATTATAACAATATTTGCGCTCGTAATCAATAGATGAGCCATCAGAATTATTTTTAAAAAAACAATATCTTATTTATCAATTTCCTATAACAATAAAATGTAATTTGATGGCATATCATAAAAAGCTCGAAAGCTCTCACATTTGTTTCTTCAATGGAAAATTCCGAACCTGTGGCGCTGATTTCGCAACTGATTCAACCCCTGAACAGGAATACAATTGTTGTCTCGCTCCATTACCACTACCGGTGTCTATCCTCTCGTCTGATCGATCTCGCCTCTGCTCCCGTTTCTTCTTCTTCTTAACCCTTTTTTCTTTCGTGGTTGCAATTTTGGATGGATCACTACTGAAAAAAAAATATATATATATATAGCCAAGAGAAGTTATACACAGAGACAAAGCTGCGCTTCGCACTACTTGCGATGCAACAATATGGGATGAAAATAACAGGATACTCAAGAACTATCAAAGAAGATTTAGAGCGTTGTTATCGTTGAAGAACCAATTAGAAAAACAAAAAAATTGACAACCGACTTTTTTTATGTTAAAATATTTCTATGTGTAAGAAGTTCTAAGTAGTAAATTTTTTTAAATAGTTTCAAGTGGCGTTGCATTTCAGCATTCAAAAACTTAAATTTTGGGCCAAGACTTTAATATCTCATAAACAAAATCGGAAAATTGTAGGAAACAAAATATTAGGTAAATAAGCCGACAGAATTAAAGCCAACAGCTGAAAATCAACCAAAATCGTTCGTCAAAATCTTATAGGAAAAAATAGATGTACTGCCCAAAAACTATCCATGGAGGCCATATATATGAAATCAACGTAAACACATTTCGCAATATAAACCGAGAGCTTTATCGAAAGCCGAAAAATCCTAATATCGATGTTACTACGTAATATCGATGTTTTATCACTATACAAACAACTAGATCTATCAAAATGAATAAAGATAGTTTTGAAAAACTTGCTCAGGCAAAAGATTGCAAAATTAGCATCGGAACAAAACTTACCAAGCGGCAACAAAACAGAAAATACCTCAGCCGAAACACTTCAAAAGAAAAATTCAAAAAAATCTTAATAAATAAAAACTGAGTCTCCCTTCCACTCAGCACACAAAAAAAAGTTCGATCATCCAACGACGCAAAAAGGAACGATTAAGTCATTAAAAAAGCCGAAACCGATTAAGCCCAAAGACAGAATTGAAAAAAAAACGAAATTTTAACAAATCGAGATGGTAAAATTACAACCAATGTAACAATTTCGATTCGCGCAGATTTTTAAAATACAAAAAACTTAAAGCAACTAAAGCGAAACTTAATTACAGCAAAAATAAACGATTCTTAGATTGGCAACTAAGCCGAAAAAATATAGGCAGACAAATAAAAGGTCGAAATTTTTTTGAACTGGAATATTTATCGATTGAAAAAAAAAACAGGTCCTAATCAGATTAGAACGGTGGACCTTTGCCGCCACATGCGTATTCGCTACCTCCGGGCTAAGTGTGCAGGAGACAATGAGAAATTTGAATTCATTATGAAACAATGTCCTGTGAACAGTTATTTACGGGAAAAAAAGGCTAGTACCCGATTGCAATACCCTTGCTTATCGCAAGAGTAACTAAGTTTTAATGAAAAAATTCAATCCTTTCGCGGTTTTACACGCGAAGTTCGTGTTTTTATTATGCTCTCATATTGGCTTTTTGTTCATCTTTTTGTACTTGAACACTGACAAGACAAACAGACAAAATACGTACCGTCTCAACAATCGACTAAACGCTTCAAATTATTTTGCCCTGGCTAATTGTTTGTATAACAGCTTATTTTTAACGTGCAAAGTACCGTCTTCATGCATGAAAAAATAGTCTCTTTAATTTGATCACAATGCTTTCAAAGCAGTTGAGTTTAAATGGCACGTCATATCTGTGTATATATCCAACACAATCAGCGTATACTTGACATATTTGCTCTCTCATAGTACCTGCAGATTGTTTTTGATAACAAAAGGAGTGTGCTTTCTTGTTTGATAATACACACCACCAATGACCTCTATTATAAATTTGAACAGCAGCATGTTCGAATCTAAGATTTATGGATCGTCGACGACAAAAAAAAGGAACGAGAAAAAAATACAGTACCTAAATAGACAACAAAAGACAACCTTAACAAGTGAAAACTCACTTTGTTCACCAACATATAAGATTTTAGGAACTTTTTCATATTCTTTCTGGTTTTGAATGACATTGCGATACAATGCACGTAAGACTTTTACTGAAGCATTAGATTATTGCAAGAGTAATGAACTCGTTTCCTTTAAGGAATGGGGAACACGAAGATACATTTTGCATTAATACCGAAGCCCATTTTTGAGAGCAGCTCTCTGCTCATTTTGCTCAGAAGTCCATGAAAAACGATCATGTCGCATTTTGTATCCGGTGAAACCCACTATTATATGTGCATTTTTGGAAAAGGTATTCATTCTTTACCATGAACTCGGCCAAGTGATCAACCGAAAGATCTCGTTTTGACTTATGTCATTCATTTGAAAAAATTTAAAGAAACGAAGCTGAAAAATGATGCTCAGAAGTCCATGAAAAATGATCATGTCACATTTTGTATCCGGTGAAACCCACTATTGTATGTGCATTTTTGGAAAAGGTGTTCATTCTTTATCATGAACTCGGCCAAGTGATCAACCGAAAGATCTCGTTTTGACTTATGTCATTCATTTGAAAAAATTTAAAGAAACGAAGCTGAAAAATGATGCTCAGAAGTCCATGAAAAATGATCATGTCACATTTTGTATCCGGTGAAACCCACTATTATATGTGCATTTTTGGAAAAGGTGTTCATTCTTTATCATGAACTCGGCCAAGTGATCAACCGAAAGATCTCGTTTTGACTTATGTCATTCATTTGAAAAAATTTAAAGAAACGAAGCTGAAAAATGATGCTCAGAAGTCCATGAAAAATGATCATGTCACATTTTGTATCCGGTGAAACCCACAATTATATGTGCATTTTTGGAAAAGGTGTTCATTCTTTATCATGAACTCGGCCAAGTGATCAACCGAAAGATCTCGTTTTGACTTATGACATTCATTTGAAAAAATTTAAAGAAACGAAGCTGAAAAATGATGCTCAGAAGTCCATGAAAAAAGATCATGTCACATTTTGTATCCGGTGAAACCCACTATTATATGTGCATTTTTGGAAAAGGTGTTCATTCTTTATCATGAACTCGGCCAAGTGATCAACCGAAAGATCTCGTTTTGACTTATGTCATTCATTTGAAAAAATTTAAAGAAACGAAGCTGAAAAATGATGCTCAGAAGTCCATGAAAAATGATCATGTCACATTTTGTATCCGGTGAAACCCACAATTATATGTGCATTTTTGGAAAAGGTGTTCATTCTTTATCATGAACTCGGCCAAGTGATCAACCGAAAGATCTCGTTTTGACTTATGACATTCATTTGAAAAAATTTAAAGAAACGAAGCTGAAAAATGATGCTCAGAAGTCCATGAAAAAAGATCATGTCACATTTTGTATCCGGTGAAACCCACTATTATATGTGCATTTTTGGAAAAGGTGTTCATTCTTTATCATGAACTCGGCCAAGTGATCAACCGAAAGATCTCGTTTTGACTTATGTCATTCATTTGAAAAAATTTAAAGAAACGAAGCTGAAAAATGATGCTCAGAAGTCCATGAAAAATGATCATGTCACATTTTGTATCCGGTGAAACCCACTATTATATGTGCATTTTTGGAAAAGGTGTTCATTCTTTATCATGAACTCGGACAAGTGATCAACCGAAAGATCTCGTTTTGACTTATGTCATTCATTTGAAAAAATTTAAAGAAACGAAGCTGAAAAATGATGCTCAGAAGTCCATGAAAAATGATCATGTCACATTTTGTATCCGGTGAAACCCACTATTAAATGTGCGTTTTTGGAAAAGGTGTTCATTCTTTACCATGAACTCGGCCAAGTGATCAACCGAAAGATCTCGTTTTGACTTATGACATTCATTTGAAAAAAATTAAAGAAACGAAGCTGAAAAATGATGCTCAGAAGTCCATGAAAAATGATCATGTCACATTTTGTATCCGGTGAAACCCACTATTAAATGTGCGTTTTTGGAAAAGGTGTTCATTCTTTACCATGAACTCGGCCAAGTGATCAACCGAAAGATCTCGTTTTGACTTATGACATTCATTTGAAAAAATTTAAAGAAACGAAGTTGAAAAATGATACTCAGAAGTCCATGAAAAATGATCATGTCACATTTTGTATCCGGTGAAACCCACTATTATATGTGCATTTTTGGAAAAGGTGTTCATTCTTTACCATGAACTCAGCCAAGTGATCAACCGAAAGATCTCGTTTTGACTTATGATATTCATTTGAAAAAATTTAAAGAAACGAAGCTGAAAAATTTGACATAAATTGGTGAAATGTGGCAATAACTCGACTTGTCGAATTTTGAACCGAGTGAAATCCTCCATTTTTGGTGCGCCAATACTGGTAAGGGGTTATATATTTCTTTCCATGAGCTCGATTTTATAATAAATCCTAACTTTTCAAGGAAAAAGGATAGCCGTTTACTGTGCAAAACTAGAATTAAATTTTTACGGCCTAAAATATGCATACATAAGCTATTGTAAGACTGCTCGCTTAACTCGCTCGAAATTAGACGAAAAATCAAAAACTTTCACAGAGGCGAAGTTGCTGAATGAGTAAAAACTTGGGTCTATAAAAATTCTTAAGTGACGCACGCCAATTATGAGTCTACACAATTCGTAATTGAAGCAAGCCAACTATGACGCATTAAGAGTGTCAAACAACTTGAAAAAAAATATATATATATACCAACTTACATGCCTCAATTGATAGAGCGGACGCATTTTATCTAGTTAACGAAAAAATTCATTACAAACATTCGACCCTACCCAGGTTCGAATCCTCTCACTATGTTGCTGGTCTCCTTTCCTACCTCTACGCTACAATATTTGCGACTTAGTTTGAGAAAAAAATAGTTCATACTATAACACAAGCCTAGGCTTGTAAAACCGGTTTTTCTCCACAATGGGATTTTTTGGACAATTTTTAATCACGTTCGAATCACGACTGAAAGAGCTTTAATATGATACATCAGTTAACTGATTCCGATGATGATTAGAGGTAGCTGCTTTTGCGGGGAAAACAAAATTAAAAAACTAAAACACCCAAACATAAAAATCCTACAATATTTCAATGGTCGTTAACAATATGGTATTAATTAAGGTAGAGTTGGAATAGTAAAAACGACATCAAGTAAAGCAAAAAAAAAGACTACAGAGAGTTGGAAAATGTCTTTGAAAGCAAGAAAACAGAAAAAATATATTGACTTCTATTTTAAACCAATTTCAACTTTCGAACTTCCATGAAAAAAAAAGACATGCCCTTCGAATTTCAAGAAAAATTTGATTGTCTCATTTTTCATTCATAAAACCAATTTCAGAAAAATAGTGGGTATTTTTTTCCGCCGAGAAATTTGAAAAATCAAAACTCACTTTCGAAACTAGAATTTTGTAAGATTTTGCCGTTTGATTGAGAGTTTGCCTTCCTTTTAATAAAGGCAATGAATTGAACTTGAAAACATTTCAAAAACCGAATCACGTAAAGATATTTCCCTAAAAACATTACCACCTATATAAAGGTATTCACTACCTTAATTGACACTTAAAACAATCCAGTTTAGGTCTTTTGGAAACTCAAGCATTATTTATGCTCAGGTTTTGATACAATTAATTCAACAAGAGAAAAATAAAATGCTGGGTAATTTCTTATTCCGCTGGAGACCTACAAATTAAAATCCACTTTTGAAATTAAAATTCAGTTGCCTTTTCTGGCAACATTGGCATTTTATATATATTTGAGAGGCAAATACGCACAATTGGATGCATTTACTTGATGTTTAATACTCATTAACTTTTCAGATGAATCGCATTTTCTCTTATACAAGTTGTTAGTTACTCAAATTTTTCGTAAATTTTGTTTTGAAGCGGTAATCACGACAGAAAAAATCTACTTTATGTATCATCGACCCTGTCCGACTATAATACTAGGATACAGGGGCGGATTTAGGGGGGGGGGGTGTTGGTGGACGCCGACGCCCCCCCCCCCCCCCCCCCCTCAGGGATTCGACCCCCTGCCGACCCAAAGGGTCCCCCCTTTGATACTTTTTCAGAAATCCATTTTTGGCCGACCGACCCTAAAATTTTTCTAAAGGCGCCAATATATATACTAACTTTTAGGGGGAGCGCGCGCCAAAAAAAACGCGATTTTTTTGTCAAAATTTTTCAAAAAGTGCCCAAAAACGGCTTTTTTGACTGTTTTTTCAAAATTTTCGAATTTTTTTTAAAAATCCGCCCCCCCCCCCCTCGAGAAAATCCTAGATCCGCCCCTGCTAGGATATCCAATTTTGTCCAAAAAATAACACCCAATTTCAGATTCTGTGGCCATAACGATACGATGGAGAGCGGCTATTATTAATATATTTTTTGGCAATTGGCACTTAATCAATATGTCGGAAGAACTCACGTGTTTTCCTTTTTGTACTGCTGTTGATAATGATTGGCCGATTTGTCTAATTCTACTCCTGAGTTTATAGCACCATAAGTTGAGGTCCCAGCATCATCCAAGCACATGTTATGTTTAGAGGCACGATTAGCTTCGGATTGCGCTTTTTTATTCATCTCATCTATCCAAATTTGATCAACTACTCTTTCACTTGGACTACTTTTTGGACTTTCTTCGGCTGACTTAACATTGCATCTTGATGGATCCTTTGATCGTTTTTCTGATCTACTTGGAGACGAGCTTTTTATCCGAGCAAATAGATCTTTCAGTGACATAACACCCTTATCATAGCTGCTGCTGTTGTTTTTGGTACTTGTATCGCCGCTATTTCTGAAATAGGTTTTGGTGCTGTTCGACTGAAGGGTATCGTAGTACGCGGTATCTTCATCGTCATCTGTTACTGATGGATTTTGACTATCACTGTCGAACACAGAGTCACAGTCTATGAATACTCCTCCTAAACAACAGTCCAAAAAGACTTAATTAGAAAGCGTACGAGAAAAAATTTCACTTAACTCGATTTGTTTATTTGTGCAAAGAATTAGATGTGTACCTGTAGCTCCCGTAGGCAAAGACAGCGATGTGAGCAGAGGTCCTGGTCCCAACGGGGAACTCAAGGGATCCGCCATAATCCCCCCATCCAATGAAAACAACTTCCTATTGACTTTGTCCCCGTCTCCTTTCAAAGCACCACCTATTCCCTTCTGTCTACTGATGTTATCACTGACTCCAAAACTCCCCCCACCCAACTGCCATTTATGTTGTCCCTGCTGGTTGTTGTTCCATGCTTCCGTGATTTGTTGTCTGTTCAGCTGCTGGCAAACTTTGTCCAAATTACTCTCCACGTCTAAGTCCCAATCATCAGGCACAACACTACAAATGTAGACTAAATTAAACTAACTATGCGAGTAAAAAAGTAGACATAGTACTGCGAAAAATGCAAAAAAAAATGGTAGAATTTGTAAATTATTGATAAGTTTTTTTTTTTAATTTTTGGCCTCTTTAAATCTTCTTCAAGTCTATTTTTGGCCTTTTAAGTGTTCTTTAAAATTAGCTAAAGCAACGCATATTCAACTTACCTGGTTACAACTCTGTCTTCCATTGTGGACACCAATATCGCGGGATCCCTCCACTTGCCCCTTCCCATACCACCACTGGATCTACTACTTCGACCGGAGTCTGGCTTACTGGCACTTCCACTGCTACTACTACTATTCTTGCTGCTAGATTGCAAAGATTCATAATCGTCTTCTTTTTCCTCTTTAACATCTGGCTCGAGAGAAGGCAGTTCACTTTTCTAAAGCAATTATTGAGCTTCTCAATGAGATACTTATCGTTTCAGCACAGCTATTTTTTCTATTGTATATATTAAGTAAATGCAGCCGGATAAATTTTTATTAGCTTAACGCTAAATGGCTTATAAATGCTTATTTGATTTTGTATTGAACTTTAATCTGCTTTATGATCTCTTACATGATGATTCTTAATTAAAATCTTCCAAAGAAGATAGCTCACATGTTGGCTTCTGTTGAAACGCAGTGTTTCACTTAAGTAGTCATCGCCATCTGACAAACTACTGTTGCTAACGCTACGACTTCTTCTACAGTCTTTGCCGCTGCTTTCCTCTTTCTTTCCCCTTTTGTACTCTTCTTTCAAATCTCCCGACGCTGACATAGGTTCCTCCAATGAAGCAAGATCTGCAGATGCCTTGACGGAGAGTGGATCCATGTTCGATTCACTAGTCCTCGGAGGACTTGGACTCGCGCCCCTGCATCGGAATCGAACACCACCACCACCAGTAGCACTCACATTATTTTCTGCGTTTAAGTTTTCCTTCCTGGAATATTTTTCATCTATTGTAGGATCCAGAGAACTTCCCTGGGTTCCCGTTTTTTCGATTGATTCTTTCCTTCTCACAGCAGCAGTAGGAACTCTTGCGCGGTCAATCACTTTCGGATATTTCTCACTCGCTTTTATACATTTTTCGCCATCTCTAGGTGAAATCCTTTTGATTTTAATTAGCTCGTTATTTTTCTTGTTTTCTGGAATGATTCCACAAATTACACTTTCTGGGCTACTGGATAAATCTGAGCTCAAAGGTGACTGGTATCTCTCTTCAATTACTGCTTCTCTACTGCAGCTCTTTCCAAATGCGGCTTGACTTCGCGGCGACTGCAGCCTTTGCTTTAAATTACTCCTAAAAACCATGAAAATCCGTCATTCTTGAAACGCTAACCTGATATTCAGTTTTGAAATCGTAAATTCGAACAATAAGACAAAGACCTCAAAATATCGCAGCTATTTTGAGAAAAAATTCTATGCTGATTTTTCAAGTATCTATTTTTTCACCTGATGTCAGAATCTACATTATCCATAGTTATTGAACCATCTGCTTTGGCTTCTTGTTGAACATGCAGCTGAGAAGGAATCGTCTGTTTCCGGGGATGCGCGGTACATTTTATCTCTGGACATGTAGAGTGTATATCTCTCTTCAGAAAGTGCACTTGAGTTCGGATTGAGATAGGGGCACTACTTGCTCCTGTTGAGGACGAAGTGGGCGTGGGTTCAGAGGTAAAGAGAGGGAAACTATGGGAGTCAAAACTCCTTTCGCTCAGTTTGGAACTGGGGGACAAGACATCGCCACCAGCACAGATCCTATTAACATTTAAATGAAGTAATTGAGATAAACAGCCAACTGAAAAGTGTCAATGAAGCAAGGAAAAAGAAAAAAAATGTTTTAAAATTTTTCACGGACAAAACATCATCAAGACATTTATAAGTCTTCACTACGATTATCAACTCGATAATACACTACGATTAATTACTTCACTAATCACTTCACTACGATTAATTAAATGAGTTATAAGCAAACAGGGATGGCCGGTTGCTGTGCTAGTCGCAATAAAAAATCCGACAACATCCAAAAAAAAGAAAAACGTTTTTTAAAAAAATTGTCATTTTTTTGTACTGGGTGTGATGAGAGGAACTAGATAAACGCTTAGAACCTTAGTCAAGCAGGCAAAATCTAATAGCTAATTTCGAAAAAAAAATAACACAGCTGCGAAGCGTAGCGTCGCATCACTTGTGATACAAAGAAAGCGTATCATTGCAAGCTATCAAATACAAAGTGAGTCGGACAAAATTTAGTTGAAAGAAAACTTCCAAAAAGAAACAACATTTTGAAACAACAGTCAACACTCAAAAAATCAAAATTAACACTTAAAAAAAAACTGGAAACGACCATTGATTCGAAAATAGAAAATCACAAACATAACTGGCATAAAAAAAGTTTGAGTGATGAAATTGTTTGAATTTTTAACTTCTCTAATGCAATCGACCTGATTTATTTAAAACAATATTAAATTGTTTTTGTTCTTAAACCGACTCAAATTTCACACGAAATTGACACACTGTTTTGTCAGTTTAGTGAACTTTGCGTCGGTTTAAGAACAAAAAAGATTACAAATAAATCAGGTCGGTTGCAGTATAGAAGTTAAAAATTCAAGCAATTTAATCAAATTTTTTCTGACAGTTTTCATTTTCATTTTTTGTTTTCGAATCAATGGCTGTTTCCAGTTTTTTTTTTCAAGTGTTCATCTTGATTTTTTGAAGTGTTGATTTTTGTTTCAAAATTTTGATTTTTTTGCCAGCCGAAGTTTTTTTACCAGCCGAAATTATTTACATCGAAGAAAAATTTCAAGCGATAAAAAATAAACCAAAAAGAACGGAAAACATACCGGTCAAGATAAGTAAAATCACAAAATACAGCAGGTAATCGAGGACGACACACTTTTGAGACTACAATGAAAACTGCTTACAGTGCAAACGAAATTCGTGGAGCGGCAGCAAGCTGACAAAATGTAAACCGACTTTCCAATTTTTCCTGGAAAAAATTCTATTTCAGACGCTGAAAAAAAAACAAGGTCCCGCCGTTCAGTGGTTGGAACAATGACTTCTAAAAAAGAGAGTAGCACTTTTTATCAAGTTTAAGATTTACACTCAAAGGAATTGCAGCGCTATACATGCAAGAATTTTGAAGTTTATTCTACCTGTAGTGGATGTTAAGGGGACCCAATATTGCTCCGTATCCCGACTGTCTGGATGATTTGGAACTAACAAGCCAGGAGGCCAGTTGGGAAAAGGAGAGATGGGACTGGATTGCCTGCAATAATGACAGACAACTTCCTCCGCCTGTCCCAGTCACCGTAGTACTACTATTGGTTGGGATATGCTTCGTACTTCTGATGCTCGTAGTGCCAACTGATTCGAGCCTTAAAAAATTTTTGATGTCAAATTTGGTTGTCTCTAAAAGAAAAACTAAAATCCGTCTTATATTATATCATAGGCTAATTTAAAATCATCCACATTTTCATGCTTCATAGCGACGAAAATATCATGAGAGTCCATCAAGCCTGATGCTTTTAAAAATAATGCACATTGAATGCTCTCGTTGGTTAAACAACACTTATCCTTCATCTGAGTCAAAATTCACTGGCCGTCTTCTGTGCTTTGTTTGATGAAGTTTGTTCAGAACTATTTCATAAAAACTGTTTCTTTAGTTTTGCTAAGATTGATTTTCTTTCATTGAATTTTGACCAATGATCATTCACCTGTGCTGTATCTTGTGAAATGTCCATACTTCCATTAACACTCCCTCGCAACATGGCTGATCGAGACCCAATCCTAGTGGTTTACCGCCAGTATTCCCAACTTGTTCAGACCGAGATGATGCCGCTTCAGTTTGCTCCTGTGGTCTGGAGGCGTAGCACTCAGCCACAATCCAAACTTCAACTACCAGAGGGGCCTTGCTCTCCAGGACTTCTTGCATGACACGCAGTCGCTCCCAATTAGCCAGACACTAAAACACACTGTTGTTCAACATAATTCCAAACTTTTAAATAAACCTTTGAGAAACGTCACCTGTGTTATTTGTGATGAGCATGTGTGCGCTGTTTTAGCATGCAAGTAGGTGGGTGCAGTTGTGGTTTTTTCCAAGTTAGGGAAGTGTAAGCCTTTGGAGTAACCACTTTTCGCTTCTCTATTTGGACATCTTGACTCGCAAACCACGAGCGCTATTTTCTGTATAACCCGATCTACCACGCTCGCTCCCATTACATCATACACGATTGCTTTATTCGGATTCAAACTGTTTTGAGAAGTAGCACAATTCTCTTTAGTTGAAGAGCTCTCATCATATGGAGATTTTTTAACTGCACAGCTATCCATTTCAGTTGAATTGTTGGGCAAGCAATCCGGTGCTTTCTGCCGAGGTCCGCCGATATAAACTGGGTCCTGGGAGGCTAGACGCATTATGGGTGAAGTAAATTGTAATTCTTTTTGATAACGCTACAGGATGTTTTGGAGACTTTAACTACAATCACTATGAACTGTCAAATTTGAATCTGATTTTAGATGAAGGAGGACTATGAGGAATATTTTTGGATAGCGAACAGTACAACAGAAACCGCACAACAGAGAGGAAGAAGGAGATATGATTAGCATGTGTCATGTTTTGGAAAGAAGGGACCCTTTGCTGTCCGATCTACGAATTGAACGTTTTTTAGAAGAAACGTCATATCTCGAGCTAATTCCGAGACAGTTTACCACAGTCCGAAAAACTGCCATCCACGATCTTAAAAAGAAGAAGGACGCATATTACAGGCTAGCTTAATTGTTCCGGCCATTGAACATGGGGAGGAATATTGTATTCTGGTGTGTTTTAGTCTAAAAAAATGAAGACTTCAATTACTGCATAAATGTGCCATTCCGCCGGATCGACACAGCCGAACTTTAAGACGAGCAAGAAAAAGAAAATTAGCGTTGGCATCACATTTAAATATTTGAATTGCGGTGGAACATTTTTCAGAAATTAAGAACGGCCATATTTGGTAGAAAAGTTTATTAAAAACACATAAACCGATATACAGGACGAAAAACGGTCGATAGAAAAACACGAGAGTAACGAGACGTCTGATGGTGTTAACGATAAGACACGATAAGACACTTGGCAGGAAAAGAACACACGAAAGGAGACTTCAATGGGGTATCCGAAGTGGAACAGTACCCTCCCGTGCCACGAAATTAAGGAGGCAACGACGCTATCTCCAGAGATGCACGGAATTGGAAGCCCGGTGCCTGGAGACTGACACAAGCTGAAGGACTGTATTAAAAAAAACTAAATTATAAAAGAGGCCCTTCCGTTTAGTTACGGAAAGTGCACAAGCTGGATAGGGCCATACCAGCGTTACGGGTTACGCTTCTTATTGAAGAAGCGTAACCCGTATCGATTTTAAATCAAAAGGACTTAAACACTTGACATCTTCTTTTATCATTATCACTTCCATATCTAGAAAATTCCAAGGATTTTGACTGGAACACATGATGAAGGGACTCATGACTGTAACCTCGGTTACTATGATACTTTTGACCTTCTGATTACCTTTAAGTCAGCATTAAAAGCATCGTTGTAATGTTAACATATCTTAGCCGTCCTTCCTCTATAATAGCGCTTATGGAGTTGTCAATAGATTGAACTTCACGCTGCGATCTGCAACCCCTTATAATAAATAATATGTGAATTCAACATCTCAATGAGACAAAAAATGGAAAAAAAGAGTATTTATTCAATTCCACTTCCAATATCAGTACCGCTCATGGATTGTGCCAGTCGGTCATATTCGGAAGTTTGACCTTGAGAGAAGCAAAAAACACTTGATTTTGGAGTGAAATTTAGTTTTTCAAAATTTCGAATGGAACCTGTCATGCACGATTTTCTCGCGATAACTGAAAATCAGAAAAGAGAAGTCAGAACAATCGAGTGACAATCGCGGGAAAGTTGCTAAATAAAACGGTGGGAAGTTGCTATTCGCAATTTCTGTCACAATAGAACAAGAGTAGAGCTGTCCCATCTGAAACAGAGACAAGCGTATTCCCGAGAACTGGATTGTCATTACTCGATTGGATTATTATTTGAACTGGACTAGAGTGAACCTTCGGTGGAAAGGTGGACAGCTTGAGTGTCCCAATGGTTCACGAGAAGCTATATCCTAGAGTTAAAACTTGTCCTTGTCATTGAAACTGATAAACATTAAAACTCATTTAGTTACATTATTTAATTCTCGAGTTGATTACCGACTGAAGTACTTCCCTTTCTTGAGCGTGCTACGATGTGAGTACCTAATTTAAATTTCTAGAGTGTGTTTTATAATTGTTATGTTGAGGTAAGGCGAGTTTTAGTTTGATCCATCTGAAATGGATCAAAGTTCCACTGTCTAATAAAAATAAACTTAACGGATTGTTCTAACCCGGTTTTTAACGGCGTTCATGTATTTTGGGTATCTAGAGACCTAAGTATGGGGACGTTTCTAATTCTAGAGTGGGGGGATATTTTAGTAGTAGCCTTTAAGCTGTAACGGGTCGTAGTCTCATGTCACAAACGAACCGAACTGGCTCCGACCGTTCTTGAGGTAGAAAAACACAAGAGATGGTGTCCCTGACCCTTGAGCCAGTGGTTATAGGGCCTATTTTTCTTAAGCCTCATGTGTGACTGCAGTAGACGAATGTTACATAGTGTTTTTATGGCGCTCCTGGGTGTTTACGACATCAAGACTACGGAGTCGAACCCACTTGAGACAGCTTCGGGCTGAATGCCCATTCTAGAGTACCGGTGGTACGGTTCGACAGGGACGTGCAAACCTTCCGGTTGTACCGTGATAGCTTTTTAAGAAAACTCGAGAAAATTTCCTGGTACGCTCTCCGAACGAGGCTTAGCTAACCGAGTAAAGGGGGGCAACTAGGGGGACAAAAACACGAGCAAAAAGACAAAAAGCAAAACAAAAACCAAAAAAGAATAGAAAAAGGAACAAAAACCATAAAACGAAAAAAGACAGTGACTTTGACACCAGATTAGTTGGATCAAACCTTTATATTAATTAAATAGTATACCCATACTGTTTTACAAGTTCGATCGTTTCGATCAACCTAGCAATTTAAACCAGCAAACTGAATAAAGTGCCCGAGTGTGGGGCGTTGTCAAGGGTTTTCAGATAGCTTGGAACTTAGCTGGACCAATAGGAGACTTGACTGGAAGAGGTGACCAGCCGAGTGGGAAAGTGGTTCAGGGACACTTGAGCTGAACCAATAGGAGACTTGACTGGAAGAGGTGACCAGCCGAGTGGGAAAGTGGTTCAGGGACACTTGAGCTGAACCAATAGGAGACTGGACTGGAACAGGTGACCAGTCGGGTGGGAAAGCAGCCAAGAAGGATTTGGCAATTCTCGAGTTCTCAAGTTGGGCAGAACGGGTATCGTTAAAATCCACATTACATTATAGGAGATAAGTGTAAAATAGGATAAGCGACATCCCCCGGTTTTGAGGAACGTTTTTACTTGAGCAGGCCTGGAGACAGGTCTACGGTTTTCTCTTGAGAGGTTTAGCACCCGGCGCTTAAGGTAATTTTAGGCTTAAGAAGGGGGGCTAAAACGGGGGGAGGTTAGAAGGGGGGCTGGTTAAGTTAGAGGTTGGCGGTTGTAAATTGTAAAAAGGGGGAAATTAGAGTAACTAATTAGTCGACATCGTTGACTTAGTTACATTAGACATTAACACGCGTTGGTAATATTAGGTGGATATCGAAATTTGAACTCGAGTTAAGGAAGGTACCCTGGTCGGATTGGTAGGGGGGAAGGGACATATACAGTTTTTGTAATACCCCATAAGATCGCTAGCAGGGGGGAAGGAAACGCGTGACAATTAGGTACCAGACATTTTTTAGATAGAAGGTAGACATTTGTCACCTTTGAATTTTAGGTGGGCTCATCTTTCTGTTTTTATTACTTTTTCTTACTTAGATTTTTGTTGCATTTTGGTGAGGATTTTTGTTAAGATTTTGTACGAACAGGTGATCACAAGATACCTTGGCACAGGTTTTGGTCTCAAGTTACTTGGAACATTGAAATAGAGGTAGCCAAGAAGAGAAATAAGAAAAAGGGGGGTCAGCATTTGGCTTTTAAGAGAGGATTTTCGGAAAATTTTACTAGAGCTTGAGTGGTGGTACAAGGTACAGTGAATCAAGAAGTCCCCATAACGAAGTGGAAAGAAGTCCCACCACCCAGACACTTGTCAACAGTCTTGGGACAGTACAGTCTTGGGACAGTGGTCTTGGGACAGGGTCTTGGGACAGGGTCTTGGGACAGGGTCTTGGGACGGGGTCTTGGGACAAGGTCTTGGGACAAGGTCTTGGGACAAGGTCTTGGGACAGGGTCTTGGGACAGGGTCTTGGGACAAGGTCTTGGGACAAGGTCTTGGGACAAGGTGTTGGGACAGGGTCTTGGGACGGGGTCTTGGGACAAGGGTCTTGGGACAAGGGTCTTGGGACAGGGTCTTGGGACAGGGTCTTGGGACAGGGTCTTGGGACAAGGTCTTGGGACAAGGGTCTTGGGACAGGGTCTTGGGACAGGGTCTTGGGACAGGGTCTTGGGACAGTAGTCTTGGGACAGTAGTCTTGGGACAGTAGTCTTGGGACACTAGTCTTGGGACACTAGTCTTGAGACAGTAGTCTTGGGACAGTAGTCTTGGGACACTAGTCTTGGGACACTAGTCTTGGGACAGTAGTCTTGGGACAGTAGTCTTGGGACACTAGTCTTGGGACAGTAGTCTTGGGACACTAGTCTTGGGACAGTAGTCTTGGACAAGAGTCTTGGGACACTGCCGGAAAGTACTCGGACGGTACCGAACAGTCTTGGGACAGGAGAAAGAAGCCTGGGACGGTACAAAGAAGAGTAGGGACGGCAATTGGAAGTCTTGGGACAGTGTAAAAATTGAAGTAAAATTACAAGAAGTGTTTTAAGACAGAATTAAGATAGAACAAGACTAATTGGAACAAGGTACGGTTGAGACCACAAATAAGGAAAGTTTCTCGAAAAGTTAATAAAGAGAACTGAAACAAGGTTTTCACCACGTTGTATATATATTTTTTCTTCCTTACCGAAAGATTTTATTCTTAGAATAGGATTGTGTATATAGTAAAATTGTAAATAAAAGCAATTGTAAATAGAAATAATGAGGCGGAGCAGGGTACCGGTAGCTGAAAAAAGACCTACCGAAGCAAAGTATAATTCGTCGCTACGCAAAACAACATCAATGGGCCCAAAGATAACAAAGAAGAACTTTTCAGTTAACATGGTCAGCACAAGGAGTACAGCGGAGAACAGAGCAAGAGAGGGCATGGAAGGGGAACGAGTAGAACCCACCATCGAGATTGATCTAGAGACACCTGATCAAAGTGTTGATGAAACAAGGAAAATAGCGACGGAGTCAACTCCAATGCCCAATGCAGAAGAAACAAACTCGAAACCCATAGAATTCTCACCAATAGACAACGTGGAAGATGCAATAGGCAACACCGAAGAAACGGTGAAAGAAGACTCTCAATGGTCAGTCTCAAGACCGGAGCTTCCCCCGACGTGGAGGGAACAGCCGGTTAGGAGTGTCGTGATCTTGAGTTATAAGAAGAATACAGAGGGGAGGTACCACAGGCACAATCGGCTGGACTGGAGTACGGAGCACCGAAAGCAGAGATGTTTGCAGTGGTCACCTTTGTCGAGAAATACAGGGCATACCTAGGCAGTGAG